AAATGGCATCGTTTTTTCTAATTGTTTTAGAATTATGTCACGAATAACATTTTTTATAGATATTTTTCATAAGATTCCATTTTTTAATGTTATAAACAAATTAAGTTAACAAATGAACTGTTCATTTGTTTATAATCGAAATGGCATCGTTTTTTCTAATTGTTTTAAAATTATGTCACGAATAACATTTTTTATAGATATTTTTCATAAGGTTTTTATTAAAATAATATTTTTAAATAATATCTGGGTTCATGTAGTTTTCTTTTTTGCTTTTTAAGTTTGCCTATTGAATTTCAGATTTTTTGTCTGCTTTTTCGAATTAGTTGAAGATTTTGTGTTGGTCCGAAGTTTCTATAACTATTTTTCACTTTTCTTTATACCATTTAATAAACAAATTTGTAATATATTTTTTAAATAAAACCTGAGTTTCATGATTTATTTTTGCTTTGATGTTTGTCGTTATCAAAAATGCTAGTAACAAAATGCATTGTTTAGTATTTTTTAGTTGTAACACCTACAAAATATTCAGTAGCAATATTTTTTATTTCAGCCTATAGTACCTAATATTTAAAAATAATAAAGCACAAAAAAATATTTCGTTTATTTGAACATTCAAAACTTTTGGAAAATAAAATGTTTTAAAGAAATGCGAACTAATATTAATAAAAGAAGAAACTCATGAAAAGAATAACTAATATAAAATTCACTAATTACAAATTTACTAATAAGAATATTATAACTTATTAACTAATGAAAAATCATGAAAAAATTAAACGATAAAAAGCAAACAAAAGAATAAGTATAATAAAGAAATCAGTTTCAGCAAAACATAATTGAAAGTATCGAGGAAACATCATTTTTGTTTGGTGAACTTTATTAAACATCAGATTTAATAAATGATAAACAGTGAAAGTTGGGAGCCTGATCTTTTCACGGAATATATCTTGTCGATCTAGATAATTTTAGAATATAATGACTCGAAAGAATTTTGCAATAATTTATAAGCGATTCAAGTTTTTTTTTTCTTTGACAGGTAACAACATAGCAATTATCATTATTAAGAAAAAATTCTACATTTTAAAAGAAAAAATACTTTTTTTGGGGGCTGAACTCCCAAAAAACTCTGTTTCATCAATTATTTTTTGTATTTTTCTGATATCAAAAAGACAAAAATATAAGTAGTAAACCATTTTAAATATATATTACTTTTGATAAATAAAAAAATGTGCGTAAAATTATATCTTTGTATGTACATTTTCAAGTAGTAAAATACAAGCTGAAGTATAATAACGCCCACTTCAGTTTGACCAGAGAATAATTTATTAACGCAGTTTATGGGAATCTTACCACAAGAAAGCTTTCTGCACATTTTTTTATTGCCAAAAAAAAAAAAAAAACAAGTACACCTTGAAAGTTGAATTTTTTTCTCCCTGCGAACTAGTTTCCCATCACAAGAATATGACTCGAGTAAAAATGAAAAACGAAAATAAAACTTTATTCTTTTTTTCTGGAGTAAAAATTAGAATTAAAAGTAAAAAGTTATTATTGATGTTACTCGAGTAAACATGAAAACTACTCTCTAAATTTTAATTAAGAAAAATGTTTACTCATTACCTTAATTTGAATTAGTTACTGACTTTTTGCTTTTGAATTAGTAAATTTGACTAATAAATAGTAATTTCTACTAATTCAAAAGCAAAAAGTAATTTCTACTTTAGTAAAATTTACTAATTCAAAAGCTAAAAATCAGTCACTAATTCAAATTAATAAATTTTAGTTAGTAAAAATACGCTAATTTGAATTAGTAACGAAATTTTTGCTTTTGAATTAGTGAATTTTACCAATAAATATAGTCATTTCTTCTAATTTATCAATAAAATTTACTAATTCACAAGCAAAACCTCAATCACTAATTCAAATTAGAAAACATTTTTACTAATTCAAATTTAGAGTAAAAATTAAAATTTATTCTATTTAACTAGTTAGTATTTTTTTAAAATATTAGAATTTTTTCGATTAAGCATTAGAGAATTTACACCAGCAAAATTGAAAATAAGTTGAAAGTAAAAAGAGTAAAAATTAAGAAAAAACGTGAGTTTCATTCATAGGATGTACATTTAAAGAAAATAGTAAGAGTATAACGGCGTTTTTTTGCGGTCAGAATATATTACGTCAAGTTACATACATTCAGAGTAATATATCTATATGAATGATAAAAATAAAAGCAAAATGTTCCTTTGAATTTAAATGAATAAAAAAACCATCCAATTTTAATATCAGGCCTCGAATCGACTTTAAGGCACAATAAAAGAATCGAACAAGTCATTTATTTAATTCAGTGCTGTCATAAAAACTTTATTTTGTATTTTCCTGATTTCCCCTTTCACTGATTTCCAAATTCAATTATTCAAAACTTTAATATATTCGTTAAATATTTAAATACTTCTTATTTTTTCCACGGGAAATAAAATTTAAAAAATTTCAATTTAAAACATTCTGGAAAATAATTTCTAAAAATTACAACTATAACCCTTCCAATTTTGAATTATTTTCTACAATTTTTAACTAAACTTCATCTCTAAATCAATTCTTTTGAATAATTTTCCGAAAGTTCTTCGTGAATTCCATTATTTAATTTTAAAAATTCTATTATTTTATAATAATTGTAACTGTAAAGGTTATTAAGGAATAATATTTTCAAAAAATTATAATAAACAAATTCTTAAAATTAATTTTTTAGAAACATTTTTAAATAATTTTTGAAAGATAATAGTTTTTCAATTATATACAATTGAAAAATTTCCAAATAATTGAGGGCTCGGATCGAAGAACCGACGCTTGTAAATGCACAGAACATTGCGAAGCGTCGGTTCTTCGATCCGAGCCCTCAATTGAAATTTGGAAAAAATCTTTTAAAAATAATAAAATAATCAAATTTTTGAAGAATTTCACTTATAAATTATGAACTTGATTTCTCCAAAATTAAAATAATTTCAAAAAAGTAAATATTTAAAATTTTAATTTACTTTGTCCGAATTGAATCTTAAAAAATTATGATAAAATAATTCTAAGAATTAGTTTATGCATTTTTTCGAAAATAATTCAATTTCTTTAAAGAATTTTTGTATATTTAAAAAAAACTAATTCATTTTTTGAAGAATTTTAATAAACAATTTTGAACATGATTGTTTTCTCCAAAATGTTAAAAATAATTATAAAAAATTTTAATTTTTGGAAAATATGTAAATTGAAAATATTGAAAATAATTGAATTTTAAAAAATTAGAATGAAAACAATCTTAGAATTTCTTGTTTCAAAAATATTTTTATACATATAACTTTTAGAAGCAAATTTTCATTAATTTTTATTTTTAAATTTATACTTGAATATTTTTCATTAAAACTGTTGAGAATTCAATTATTATGTTTATGTTCAAAATTTGCAACTAAAAAAAAGTAGCTATCGAAAAATTAAACTTAACGACTCAATTTTTTTATAATTTCTTAATTACATTCAAAAATAGAATAATTTTTTAAAATAAATATTTAAATACCTATTTATTTTGTTTACAGGAATTAAAATATTTCAAATGATTTCAATGTAAGTCATTTTCATGATGTTTTTCAAAAATTTTATGAAAATTCTATTTTAAATAATTTAATTTCTTTGAAAATTGTATATTTATTTATGAAAATAATTGAATTCATTCAAAATTTTTTATTAAAATTATATTGAAAACAATTCAATTATTATGAAGAATTTCATTTAAAGTTTTCAAAATAATTGAATTCTTTCAAAGAATTTAAAAAAAATTGTTAAGAATAGTTGTATTTTTCGCGTAATTTATTTAAAATTGTACACTGAAAAAAAAAATTTATTTGATTCAAATAACCGATTAATTGACTATTATTAATTAAATATTTAATTGAATCAAATAATATTTATTGGAGTCAATTAAATGGTATTTGCTTCAAATACTGAAATTATTGGTTTAAATACCTATACCATTTAATTGACTCCAATAAATATTATTTGTTTCAAGTAAATATTTAATTGATAACAGACAATTAATCGGTTATTTGAATCAAATAAATTGTTTTTTCAGTGTATTAAAAATGATTGAAATACTGCGATGAGTTTTAATATTTACAAAAATAATTCAATTCTCGTCGCAACGATTATTAAAATTTTAGAAAATAATTCAATTCTTGGGAAGAATTTTATAAAAATCTATTTGAATAATTGATTTTTTTCGAAAAATTCTGGAAAATTCTGTTTTAAATAATATTGAATTCCCGTGAAAATTTGTTTATTTATGAAAATAATTGAATCGTTTTAAAGAATTTTATTAAAATTTTTTGATTTTTTCCAACAACTTTATTAAATTTTGGTATTTTGTTGCAAATATTTGGAGAAAAGTCGAAAAAGGAGTAATTTTTGAAAATAGTCGATAATAGTCGAAAAAGTCATAATACCCAAAGCCCTGCACAAGAATTAAAAGAACTTGTCAATATTTATGTACAGAGAAATATTCCATGCGAAAGAGAACAATTAATTGAATGAACGTCAAATTCAATAAATCATCAAAGAAATTTCCAACTGATAATATATTTCACGCATTCTGAAGCAAGCAAATTATAATCTTGATAACTAGCATCTAATTATTTATGCACATGTTCTGAGATTAGGTATTTGACACTAAAGATAAGATAATGTCAAATCGATTATTTAGCTGTTTGCAAAATTTATTAGTAGAAATTTCCCTTTTTTTTTCTTTATAATATGTATAAGGAAGTCGATTTTTGCAATTGTAGACCTTATATTAAATCTTGTTTTGTATTTTAAGTTTATTTTCAATTTTTCCCGTTATTCGTTAATTGTTTCATATAAATAAGAAAATTGTTTTTTTGTTTTTCAGTTATTACGTGCGTGCGCTCTTTGAACACGAAGTGCGGAGCAATTGAATATTATTTATAGATTTAATAATGTAAACAAGTTACCTGATTCTTGGTGGGCTTGTCCATGATTCGATACGATGGTGAGTAGCCGGATGCTGCGATGACAGCCCCCGCTTTACGAGATACGCATTGCCCCATATAGATCTGCCAACTTTAATAGTCCGCAACCTGTATTAATTACAAATAATTATTATTACACGTAATTAACATTTTCCAATACTTAGTACTATCAGCACTGGAATTATTATTTTTATTATTATTATTTTTTATTATTATTTTTATTATTTATTATTATTTTTATTCTCATTATTATAATTATTATTAATTAACTGATCTAAAATTTCGATCGTAATAAATAAATGGATTTACCCATTCGGTAATCATTCATTGATCGCATTGAGATAATAATAAGCAATAAATTACATCTAAATTAGACATGAAAAATACCAATATATGTATAGTACATCTTGTAAACATTAAAGATAATAGCTATTATAATAATTATATTATAAAATAAAATAATAATCATATTATATCTTGAATGAATGAAAATGTGTAATTATTAAAATAAATTGAGTGTGAAAGTTTACTTCACGTACATATGATGTAATATATTATATTTCCCATTATTTTATATTGTGATATAATATTCGTCGAATTTTATATTTATAGAGAAAAAAACGCGTTTGTTACGAATACAAAATTCCAATTAAATTTAAAATATGTTAGAAAATAATTCTGGAATTATTTTTGAAATAACAAATTTTGTTTGCAATTTTATTTGAATGCATTTATATGCAATTATAAACAATTATATACACAATTATACGAATTATATACCAGCATCTGATAGTTGTAGGTTAGATACGAGTATTAATTTACCGCATAAAGAAACATATCCCTTGACGAGTGTCAGATGTAATTCTTTCAACATATTACATATTCATGAAAAGAAGGCGGTAATGAATATATTCTACAACACATGGATGTTTTTTAGTCGCAGTTATAACAGAATAATTAAAATGGAAACAATTTTTTTTTGTTTCTCAACAGGGTGTCTAGCGAATCGTCAATTTAAAATTCCCGGGTTTTTCCCGGTTTTTTCCCGGGTTCTTGAATAATTTTCCCGGATATTCACAAAGGATTTAAAAACATATTTAAATGTTTATCAATAACATTATTTACGTAATTAAATATTGTTTTTATTAAATTACAATGATTAAAGTTATACAATAATTTCTAAAAACTTGACATAGAATATCAAAATTTCACTTATAAAAATTTCTCAACTTTATAATATAATTGTCAATTCAGGGGAATTTAAGAAAAACTTTTTTTGAAAAAAAAATTCCGCTCGGTACATACATTATACCCTTTGAAATACTTGTAAAATTTAATTAATTTCTCAAACCATGAATTGCACATTATAATGTTTACATAGAATTAAACTAGAATATTTAAGCTTTATTTGTACATAAGTTTCAAGAAAATCGGATGCGACGTGTTTTGAGATATTCAAAAAGGTTATCTTTCAAACTTAATTTTTTTCATAAATTCTATTATTTAAAAAAAAAAATTTCTACCATTATAAAGTTGAGAAATTTTTGTTTTAAAACCACTAATAGTAAATAAAGTTTGGCTTCAATAAATATGAGAAATAATGATTTAAAAATTGCCTTACAATGTCAATTGTTTATAAAGAGGATCATTTTGAAATGGAATGCCCCATATTTAGTTTTAAAAAGTAAAATCTTTGCCTTTCCTATATCACAGAAGATTCTTAATTTCTTCTTATAAAATTTGTTACGTATTGTATACCTATAAATTGTTATATAAAAATAATAATAGTACAAATCCTTTAACTTTTATAATATAACGTATACTAAAGTTAGTTTTAAATAAAATTTAAGTTATTATTTTTACTACTGCTTCATACTATCAATTTACCCTTGACGATTTTGAAAAAAATTATAATTTTTTATATACATAATTCAAAAAATACCCTAGAAATAGAAAATTCCCGGGTTTTTCCCGGTTTTTTGAGGTCGAACCAAATTCCCGGGTTTTTCCCGGTTTTTCCCGATTTCCCGGTTCGCTAGACACCCTGCTCAAACACGGGTTGCCACAAAAATTTAATTTTGATTTTCCCTGATTAATCGGTTTCACTTCTTAAAAATTACTTTCATTATTTCAATTCAATTATTATTTTTTAGAATTTTTAACTAAAATTCTACTTCAAATCCATTATTTTTAATATTTTTTTGAAGAATTTCTTTGAGAATTTTCAAATCCATTTGTTTACAATTCAATTTTACAAAATTTCGATTATTCGGAAATTCTTCAATTAAAAATAAAAATTTCAAACAATATCAAAAAATTGGAATTAAAATTTTTCAAAACAATTAGTTTCACACAGAATTGTTAATTAAAAGTATAAAAAATTTAAATTTTCAAAGATTTAAATTAACCTTTCTAAATTCAATTATTTCAAAAAATGCATCCTATACAATTCTTTCAAATATTCAATTACATATCGTCGCTTGGGGGCAGCAACATGCCGACTCAGCTAAACGGTGAAAAAGATGCCGTTTCAAAAAGCAAAGTGAAAAACATGCCATTTCACAAATCCTGTGGAAACTATGCCTCGCCGCGAAAGCGCTGATAAACATACCTTCTCCAAACGAACGGTGAAGAACATGCCTTTTCAACCGTTAATATTATATTAAAAAGGCTGAAAAGGCATGTTCTTCACCGTTCGTTTGGAGAAGGTATGTTTCTCAGAGCTTTCGCGGCGAGGCATAGTTTCCACAGGATTTGTGAAATGGCATGTTTTTCACTTTGCTTTTTGAAACGGCATCTTTTTCACCGTTTAGCTGAGTCGGCATGTTGCTGCCCCCAAGCGACGAATATTATCTAAACTGAAATTCATTTTTAAATTAATTTTATTAGAAAATTCTACGAGAATTCAATTATTTAAATGCAAAAATAAATAATTTATTGATAAATTGAATATTTCTTAAAATTGAATTCTCATAAAGAATTTTATCAACAAATTTTTAAATAATTAAATTCATTCGACTAATTTTAATAAAATTTTTAAGGATAATTAAATTTTTTGAGGAATTCGATTAAAATTGTAGTGAAAATAATTGAATTTCCTGTGAAAATTTTATTATAATTATGAAAATAAATTTTAAGAAATTTTATGAAAGTAGTTGAATCTTATTCAATTGAGAAACATTTTTGAAAATATGTAATTGAATTTTGTCGAAGAATTTCGCTATTTATAAAAATAATTCAAATCTTTACTATAAGGATTTTTTAAATATTTGAACGAAAATAATTGAATTTTGCAAAGAATTTATTAAAATTCCTTAAAATAATTGAATTTCTAGGAAGAAGTTTGTTATATTTATCAAGATAACTGAATTTTGTCAAAGTATTGCGCTATTTATAATTGATACGTTAAAATTTTTTAAATAAAATTAAAAATGTATTAAAAAATTCAACTAATTTCAACGGAATTGAAATTAAAATTTATTTTAAAAAATAAGTTCTTCAGAATTATTAGTTAAAATTATGAAAAATTTAGAATTTCCAAAGATTTGAATTTGAAACGTTTTAAAAATTCAATTTTATAAACATAACAAATATCTACCTAATTGAATTAATGCGAAGAATTTGTAAATAATTGAATTGCTGTGAAGTTTTTATTAAGTATATGTGAAAATAATTAAATTTTTGCGTCAAATGTTATCAAATTTCTTTTTAAATAATTGGATTCTTTTGGAAAATTTTATTAAAATAGTAGACATTGAAAATCATTGAATTGAGAAAAATTTTTGAAAATAATTGTATTTCTGCAATCATTTGAAACTTCTCCAAAATCAAATTTAAGTGTTTTTAACTAAAATTCTTCTATGAATCCATTATTTTTAATAATTTATTAATTAAATATATATTAAAATTTCTAATTAAATTCATTCAAAATTGAAATTTTATAAAATGTCAAATTGAAACCTTTTGAAGTTTATCTATATTTATGAGCATTATAAATGCAACTCGTTTAAAATTCAATTAATTTTGAAATATTTAAGTAAAATTATTCATTAAATAATTTATAAGTAATCATTTTATGATAGTTCTTCAGGAATTATGTTATTTAAAAAGAAATTATTGTCAGAAATAGAAAAATTTGAAAATTTTTTTTATTAGAATTCGTGGTAATTTCATAGTTTATGAGGCAAATGAAAGACACAAAAAATATAATAAAAAAATGGAAACAATGTTTTTTCCTTAAACACCATATTACTATCGAATATTATAACATAAGAATTTCGGTAGTAGAAACCTTAAAATCAATATATTATACCGCACCCAGTAAATTTATGTGAAACCTTTTATATACAACAGGAAATAATTCTTCATAAGCTTCCCATGAAACAATTTACCAACTATAATATTTATGTATAATCTATGAAGAAAGCAAAGAAAAATTGAACCTATTTAATCGTGAAAAAATAAAGCAAAAGAATACATAGAAAAAATAAAGCAAAAAAAATTAAAATTAAATATTCTGTCAATGAGAGATATTAATAGTAAAAAGTTGTGTTCATATTAAATTTGACCGTTATATATTATTAATATTTTATGGTTTTTTTTATTACTACTTGTCCAAAGAAGAATAGCGGTTTTACTTTGTTAGTAACACACTGGTGGTTACTTTATTAGTTAAATTATTTTTTTATAACTGTTTTCCAAATTAATTTATAATATCACTGTGACGCTCAAAAAACTTTCATTCTAACATTTTACCACTAATGCCTTTTACGTTAATTTCAATTTAGTTTTTAATTTAAAATCCATATTGTAAAAATGTAAAAATGTAAAAAGGTAGAACAGAAAAATTTGTTATGCATCATTTTTTTTTTGTAACAGTTTCTTCTTTGTCATCGTTATTAAAAATAGTGTTCTGAAGCAATTTACTAATTCGATTAAGAAACTATTCAACTTTTTTTTATTATTCAATTTTAAGCCTTTTAAGTTTAATTTAAAAGAGAAAGAGAGAGATAAAAACTTGAGAATTTAAAAATAAGTGATAAAATAAACGAAAAATATAAAAAAAAGAGATTTGATTATTCTGTGACATTTCGCAATATTTTGAATTTGAGCATTTTGAGAATAGTTTTTTAGAGAAAAAATTTGTGGGTTAGTAATAAAAGCATAAGTATATATATATTTTATTAAATCTCGCGCATGCACCATTTCCAAGGAAGCTGCTTAACCCTCTTAATACCTTTTTATCTCCCCAAAAGATAACTTTTTATTCATTTACTTTACTCACAAGAAAAAAATATTTCTGCTTTCTATGCTTGGTCCTTTAGACCGTTTCTTCAAATACACTGAAAAATAAATTCATCTTTCACTATAAAAATTAGTCTTCCTCTTCCAGTTTCTAAAAATCAATTTTGAGAATGATTTTAAAGATTTAAAGAATCAATAGTTGACTGAACCGACCAGAATTGTAACTCTTTCCCTTCTTTAATAATTTATAAGTAAATTTTTTTTTTCAGAAAATAGGAAAATACAGAATTTAATAAGTTTTTTTAACCCCTTCCCCCTCCCCTTTCCTAAAAGTAAAAAATAATTAGGGAAAAAAGACCAAGAATATTTAACGACAAAGTTGTCCTTGAATAAAAATTATTACTGTATGAGAAAACCACTTGTTAGAAAAAAAACTTACCTTTTCTTACAAAGCTAAGTAACTCTTGAAGATCGTAAGAATTCGCGGTATACATATTATAAAACTTGGCACTGACTAGCTACAATCAACACGGCACATATAAAGTATTAACATGTCATATAATGTGTGTATAAAATTCACTGATTAACACTGTATAATCAGCTGACAATGTCATGAACAATAGCACTTGAAACACTTGCACACTATCATCGACCACCCGCCTTTCTGCACTGTTTGAATGTTGTACTGCACAACAGTAGATGTGTCTATTAAATACAGTCTCAAAGCAAAATGTGTATACATAGTTGCACCTGACATGCGTCCTGTGACTTCACCCCCTACTTTTTTCTTCTCCACAGTCCCCACAATACTGACAAGACTCATTCGGCACTTATCACCACTCACTCTACATTATTGCTAATTACGAAAATTACTTATTTTATCGAACACTAATACTCAGTAGATTCATAAAAAATGTCTTTAATTGAGAAATAAAACTTTGTCGGCTCGACAATCTTTAAACCGGTTTTTATTATCAGAAATGACTTTTTCCACGAACCACGACCCACGTGCACTCTACCGATAAACAGGGTTGAGTAACTAGAGTGAACTAGAGATATTGTTTGCGCGTGTGAATACACCTTTAGAATTTCTGGACAAGTTTCCTTCTCTCCCCCCACCACAGTAGTAACCTTGAAATGAGTTTCCCATGTCTGTACGTCTGGCAATTAAGGTTAGGTGTCAAAAATCTAAAAAGAAATTAGATAAATAATAAATTATTATCCTAAATTGACATATGTAATTAAATATTCCTAATTTATCATAAACTATCATTCATCAAAAATATGAATTTATAACATTTAACCTATAAAGAATATGTTACTTCCATATTTATATCATTTATGTAACTCAATTTTTGACCTAAACTTTTTGGTATCTTAAAATTATTTTTATAAATACCTATTTTTCTAATTATCATAATAATCAAAATTTTAAAAAAATGAAAATTTCTTTCAGAATTGGTGTTAAGTTAAAAAAATCAGTGACTTCATGAATTGGATGACAATAAATTTTGAAAATTAGAAGAAAAAAATGGGTGCTAAGCAAAGTGCGCATAAGTTAACAGTTGTCAATGATGAGGCAGAGGGAAATGTCATTCAGGTTTCTAATGCAATTGTACAAAGGCTAACGGAAGGATTGAAACAAACGTCAAATCAATCGGGAAACGCGGACGTAAGAGTTCAACATTCAAGGAAACCGTCAGTTTCTGGCGAGGGTGAAATACCTGTAAATTCACCTCAAGGAAACGTGCCAGCAAGTGGGTATTCTTCGTTTCATTATCCAGAATATACTATAACTGCTCTTCAAATGCAAAAACAGAAAGAAGCGGAAATCGATGACTTAGATGCATATTGGGGTAAACGTCTTCTAAATCTTGAAATGAAACACGAGAAAATTAACAGCATTCTTCAAAATGAATACAATAAAGCTGTGGTTGATTATAAAAGTGGTGAGTTCATTTTCTTCTGTATTTATAAGGCACATTTTTCAGGATTGACACAAGTCAGGGAATTTTATTAACTCGATGGCCCCGAGCTATTTCATACTAACTCGCCCGCGAGTTAGTATGAAATAGCTCGGGGCCATCGAACTGTATACTGAAAAAATATCCAATTTCTAGAATAATTTAGAAAAAAATTCTGCATTTTGTTGTTCTTTAAAAATATTGAAAAGATTTAATTTAATTTTAAATTTGTCTCATCATTTAGAACAAAAATGTTTCTTTCGATGTTTAAAAGACCCTCTTCATATTATATATTATTTTATACTATCTCACTCAATAAAATTTGTGTTCCAAGAAATACAAAAAACAATAAATAATTTAATTTTAAATTCTTTCTATTTCTCAAACAATAATTTTTTTGAATAATTACAGATTCAAAATTTAAGAAAATTCTCGAAAGAATTCAATTACTATTTTTAATAAGTTTTAATAAAATTAGGCTTCGCACTCGGTAAATAATTTTAAAAAAGTAGCTTAAAGACCGAAAAAATTACTAAAAAAAGTAGCAATCGAAGAATCAAATTTGACGACTAAAACTCGTTTTAGTTGATTCAGAAAAATCACAAAAATTTTATTCTGCATTTTATTTCCATGATTTTTTTCATGTTTCTCTCAAACATTTCAATTTAAAAACCTTTTACAATTGAATTTAATTATTTTTAAATATTCATAATATAACGCTTCTAATATTAAATTATTTTCTAAAATTGTAACTGTAATTCAATTTTAAATCACCTTTTATTAGATAGTTCTTCGAGAATTCAATTATTTAAATATAAACATGAATAATTTATTGAGTAATTGAATACATATTTCTTAAAATTGAATTCTTATATAGAAACTAGCTGTCGTACCCGTCTTCGACGGGTTGTAGTTTCTGATAATGCACTTAACAGTGTATCTACCAACCTAGAAAACCGGAAAATAGCCGGGAATTTGATTTGACAGGGAAAAAATAATAATTAGTTACTATTGTCTATTTCATTAGGAAAATAATACCATTTGAAACAGTGACCGACTTTTTATTATCAAATTAGTTATTTTTAACTAATTCAAATGCAGAAAACAATATTTCTCAATTTGTAGTACTTCAATCAATATAATGTATTAAAATAAATCTAAAATTTCCTCCAGTTTTTTGAGTTATAGTACAGTCTAATTCGAACTAATTGTATAGCAAGTAGATCCAGTTTTTCTCGGTTACATTAAATTCCCTGATATTTTACGTCTTTTCTGGTTGGTAAACACCCTGTTAAATGTATTATTAAAAAAAACCCGTCCAGTAAACCAGGAAAAATTTGGACAAAGCCGGAAATTGTTTTAAACCAAAATAAACACCGTGTTTAACTTTTGTCTTTACATTGATCAAGATATCTCTAAAAGTTAAATCAGAGAGCCCACAAATACTACTGAATTAAGCTTCATAGCAATTGGTATCAATTATAATTTTTTCAATTTTTTGATATTCAAAACATTTTTATACTTACATCTTCGTTATAAGAAAGTATTTTTGAAAAATTATGCTAAAATGTGACTAAATAACATGTAATACTCAACTATAGAAAGTTTAGAAGCAATCCATGAAAAAATATAAAATTTAGAAATGATTTGTGTTAAATAAATTTATTTATTAGAGTCAAGTATTTATTTAATTAATCCAATTAAGATTTATTTGATTCAACTAAATAAAATTATTTAAACGAAATAAATTCTTATTAGATCGAAATAAAAACTTTTTAAATAAGATATTATTTTTCAAATAATTATAATTACTTGAATCATATAACTTTTTTTAGTGTAGCTATAGTAAACTAAAAGTTATTAATGTGAACGAACATTATCTATATTAATAAAATCAGATTACTATCTGTACATTGCTCCAAACTTGAAAATTTTTATATATTTTTTCGTTTTGAGACATTAGAATTCTAAAAATGTAAAAAAAATTTCTGTCTGTCTGTCTCTGTCTGTATGCAAAACTTTGTTCGCGCATCAATTGAAAACGGTTCAACCAATTAAAGTGAAATTTGGCAGTCTATTAGGTATTAAAGTAACTTACAATCATAGCCTTATCCGATTAAAAAATATTAACTTGAACAAAAGTTATGACATTTTTCCAAAAAATTCAAAAAAACAAAAAAATGCAAATTTTTTATCTTTTGTAAAATGAATGAAAAAACTATCCTTAGCTAACTTTTTCAGATAAATACAACCCATTTCTACGATAAAATTTTTAAAAAAGATGTATTTTGAAATTTTTTTTCGTTTTTTTAGATCAACTTTTTTCTAAGAAAATAGTGATTTTTAATCTTTAAGCAAGCTTTTCAGGAAAAGTTATTAAAGTTTTTTATTTAAAGATCAGTATGTAAAGTAAAAAATTTGCTACATTAAACAAAAATAATTAGCTAAATGCCATAAAAAAGAAGGAAAAATGTTGAATTTTAAGAAATTCGGTTTTTTGAATTTTTGCTAATTTTCCATAATTTTAGATTTTTTACCGAAGGGTGGAGATAACAAATTAGGTAAAGTATTTTTTAAGAGCACAAAAATAATTAAGCTAAATGCCATAAAAAAGAAGAAAAAATGTTAAATTTTAAGAAATTCGGTTTTTTGAATTTTTGCTAATTTTCCATAATTTTAGATTTTTTACCGAAGGGTGGAGACTATTGAATAAGTAAAGTATTTTTTAAGAGCACAAAAATAATAAAGCTAAATGCCATAAAAAGAAGGAAAAATGTTTAATTTTAAGAAATTCATTTTTTTGCATTTTTGCTATTTTTCCATAATTTTAGATTTTTTACCAAAGGGTGGAGATAACAAATTAGATAAAGTATTTTTGAAGAGCCCAAAAATAATGAAGCCAAAAGCCATAAAAGAGAAGAAAAAATGTTGAATTTTAATAAATTCGGTTTTATGAATTTTTGCTAATTTTCCATAATTTTAGATTTTTTACCAAAGGGTGGAGACTATTAAATATAAGTAAAGTATTTTTGAAGAGTACAAAAATAATGAAGCTTAATGATATAAAAGAGAAGAAAAAAATGTTAAATTTTAAGAAATTCGGTTTCTCGAATTTTTGATAATTTTTGATTTTTTGCTAAAGGGTGGAGACTATTCAAATAGTATAATTATACTACCGAAATAGCTAATGGTAACTAATTATTAATTAATTAATTATTAACTAATTATTAATTATTATTAATGAACTAATTATTAATTATTAATTATTAATTATTAATTAATTTATCCCGGGTATTTTTGATTTTCCGCAGATTGGTAGAAACATTGTTAAATGTATTGGTAGAAACTAAAACCCGTCGAAGACGGGTACGACATGACAGCTAGTGCTATATATTTTCAAAATTTTTAAAATTCAAAATTTATCTTTTGAAATAATTATTGTCATTAATTTTACTTAAATTTTATACAGGGTTAATTTTAGTATTTTTTATTACAATTTAGTCATCAGAATGAAATTTGAGTTTTTGATTTTTTGATCATTAATTAATAAAATATAATAGCAATTTTGAATTCTGTGCAACATACTGACAAAAGTCTCATATTAATTATATGGATATTGTTAATATTCTGACCTAATAGAATTCTTTTAAGAAAGTAAACTTATGATTTCAACAACAAATTTTTATTGTTGACCTAAGAAATACAACCGTATAAAAATTAATTACAAAAAAATTTCAATTTTTAAACTTTTTAATTTTTCAATATTTAAATCTAACACTTTTTATTTGTTATTCAAAATTTTATTATTCTGACGATTAAATCTTCATAAAAAACACTAAAATTAACCCTGTACCAAGTTTAAGTACCCACACAGCACATGATATTTCCTAAATATTTCCTGAATATTTCACTGAAAGATTGAAATATTTCAGTGCAAAGTTCTAGAAATATTTCTGCAAACAGGAAAATGTCCGCTTATGTGGGAATATTGACGCGAAAGTTGAGAAAATATTTCATTGAAATATTCCTGCAATATTACACATAAAGATTCTGCAATATTGTGAAAATATTTCACAAAATGGAAAAATTTGTTAAACACCTCAAACCAATAGGAAATTTCTAAAATATTTTAAAACCCATAGGATATAGTAAGCCAAAAACTACTGCGCAGCTCTACAGGCCATAGAAACTGAGTTCGACCAGTGCGCATCATTTCAGTTAAATATTTCCAAAATATTTCAATGAAATATTTTCTCAACTTTCGCGTCAATATTCCCACATAAGCGGACATTTTCCTGTTTGCAGAAATATTTCTAGAACTTTGCACTGAAATATTTCAATCTTTCAGTGAAATATTCAGGAAATATTTAGGAAATATCATGTGCTGTGTGGGTACAATTCACTAAAGTATATGAAAAAACTAAAAATTTCGAATTTTCGAATTTTTGAAAAAATGGCATAACTTTCGTCCATATTAATATTTTTTAATCTACTATCGCTAGGATTTTAAGTTAGGCTAATGCCTAAAAGACTGCCAAGTTTCACTTCAAACGATCGAACCGTTTTTCCGTGATACGCGGTCGAAAATTTGCGGACATACATACACACATACACACATACACACATATACACATACACACATAATTTTCTTAATAGTATTTTCGCATTCCTTAGAGTGTAAAAAGAAGGAATATAATAGAAATTTTGAATTCTATGCAATGTACAGACAAAAGTCTGATTTTATTAATAAGGACTAGCTGTCGTACCCGTCTTCGACGGGTTGTAGTTTCTGATAATGCACTTAACAGTGTATCTACCAACCTAGAAAACCGGAAAATAGCCGGGAATTTGATTTGACAGGGAAAAAATAATAATTAGTTACTATTGTCTATTTCATTAGGAAAATAATACCATTTGAAACAGTGACCGACTTTTTATTATCAAATTAGTTATTTTTAACTAATTCAAATGCAGAAAACAATATTTCTCAATTTGTAGTACTTCAATCAATATAATGTATTAAAATCAATCTAAAATTTCCTCCAGTTTTTTGAGTTATAGTACAGTCTAATTCGAACTAATTGTATAGCAAGTAGATCCAGTTTTTCTCGGTTACATTAAATTCCCTGATATTTTACGTCTTTTCTGGTTGGTAAACACCCTGTTAAATGTATTATTAAAAAAAACCCGTCCAGTAAACCAGGAAAAATTTGGACAAAGCCGGAAATTGTTTTAAACCAAAATAAACACCGTGTTTAACTTTTGTCTTTACATTGATCAAGATATCTCTAAAAGTTAAATCAGAGAGCCCACAAATACTACTGAATTAAGCTTCATAGCAATTGGTATCAATTATAATTTTTTCAATTTTTTGATATTCAAAACATTTTTATACTTACATCTTCGTTATAAGAAAGTATTTTTGAAAAATTATGCTAAAATGTGACTAAATAACATGTAATACTCAACTATAGAAAGTTTAGAAGCAATCCATGAAAAAATATAAAATTTAGAAATGATTTGTGTTAAATAAATTTATTTATTAGAGTCAAGTATTTATTTAATTAATCCAATTAAGATTTATTTGATTCAACTAAATAAAATTATTTAAACGAAATAAATTCTTATTAGATCGAAATAAAAACTTTTTAAATAAGATATTGTTTTTCAAATAATTATAATTACTTGAATCATATAACTTTTTTTATTGTAGCTATAGTAAACTAAAAGTTATTAATGTGAACGAACATTATCTATATTAATAAAATCAGATTACTATCTGTACATTGCTCCAAACTTGAAAATTTTTATATATTTTTTCGTTTTGAGACATTAGAATTCTAAAAATGTAAAAAAAATTTCTGTCTGTCTGTCTCTGTCTGTATGCAAAACTTTGTTCGCGCATCAATTGAAAACGGTTCAACCAATTAAAGTGAAATTTGGCAGTCTATTAGGTATTAAAGTAACTTACAATCATAGCCTTATCCGATTAAAAAATATTAACTTGAACAAAAGTTATGACATTTTTCCAAAAAATTCAAAAAAACAAAAAAATGCAAATTTTTTATCTTTTGTAAAATGAATGAAAAACTATCCTTAGCTAACTTTTTCAGATAAATACAACCCATTTCTACGATAAAATTTTTAAAAAAGATGTATTTTGAAATTTTTTTTCGTTTTTTTAGATCAACTTTTTTCTAAGAAAATAGTGATTTTTAATCTTTAAGCAAGCTTTTCAGGAAAAGTTATTAAAGTTTTTTATTTAAAGATCAGTATGTAAAGTAAAAAATTTGCTACATTAAACAAAAATAATTAGCTAAATGCCATAAAAAAGAAGGAAAAATGTTGAATTTTAAGAAATTCGGTTTTTTTGAATTTTTGCTAATTTTCCATAATTTTAGATTTTTTACCGAAGGGTGGAGATAACAAATTAGGTAAAGTATTTTTTAAGAGCACAAAAATAATAAAGCTAAATGCTATAAAAAAGAAGGAAAAATGTTGAATTTTAAGAAATTCGGTTTTTTGAATTTTTGCTAATTTTCCATAATTTTAGATTTTTTACCGAAGGGTGGAGACTATTGAATAAGTAAAGTATTTTTTAAGAGCACAAAAATAATAAAGCTAAATGCCATAAAAAGAAGGAAAAATGTTTAATTTTAAGAAATTCATTTTTTTGCATTTTTGCTATTTTTCCATAATTTTAGATTTTTTACCAAAGGGTGGAGATAACAAATTAGGTAAAGTATTTTTGAAGAGCCCAAAAATAATGAAGCCAAAAGCCATAAAAGAGAAGAAAAAATGTTGAATTTTAATAAATTCGGTTTTATGAATTTTTGCTAATTTTCCATAATTTTAGATTTTTTACCAAAGGGTGGAGACTATTAAATATAAGTAAAGTATTTTTGAAGAGTACAAAAATAATGAAGCTTAATGATATAAAAGAGAAGAAAAAAATGTTAAATTTTAAGAAATTCGGTTTCTCGAATTTTTGATAATTTTTGATTTTTTGCTAAAGGGTGGAGACTATTCAAATAGTATAATTATACTACCGAAATAGCTAATGGTAACTAATTATTAATTAATTAATTATTAACTAATTATTAATTATTATTAATTAACTAATTATTAATTATTAATTAATTTATCCCGGGTATTTTTGATTTTCCAGATTGGTAGAAACATTGTTAAATGTATTGGTAGAAACTAAAACCCGTCGAAGACGGGTACGACATGACAGCTAGTGCTATATATTTTCAAAATTTTTAAAATTCAAAATTTATCTTTTGAAATAATTATTGTCATTAATTTTACTTAAATTTTATACAGGGTTAATTTTAGTATTTTTTATTACAATTTAGTCATCAGAATGAAATTTGAGTTTTTCATTTTTTGATCATTAATTAATAAAATATAATAGCAATTTTGAATTCTGTGCAACATACTGACAAAAGTCTCATAATTATATGGATATTGTTAATATTCTGACCTAATAGAATTCTTTTAAGAAAGTAAACTTATGATTTCAACAACAAATTTTTATTGTTGACCTAAGAAATACAACCGTATAAAAATTAATTACAAAAAAATTTCAATTTTTAAACTTTTTAATTTTTCAATATTTAAATCTAACACTTTTTATTTGTTATTCAAAATTTTATTATTCTGACGATTAAATCTTCATAAGAAACACTAAAATTAACCCTGTACCAAGTTTAAGTACAATTCACTAAAGTATATGAAAAAACTAAAAATTTCGAATTTTCGAATTTTTGAAAAAATGGCATAACTTTCGTCCATATTAATATTTTTTAATCTACTATCGCTAGGATTTTAAGTTAGGCTAATGCCTAAAAGACTGCCAAGTTTCACTTCAAACGATCGAACCGTTTTTCCGTGATACGCGGTCGAAAATTTGCGGACATACATACACACATACACACATACACACATACACACATATACACATACACACATAATTTTCTTAATAGTATTTTCGCATTCCTTAGAGTGTAAAAAGAAGGAATATAATAGAAATTTTGAATTCTATGCAATGTACAGACAAAAGTCTGATTTTATTAATAAGGATTTTGTTAACATTTCTTAAACTTGAATTCTTTCGAAGAATTTTAATGAAATTTTTAAGAATAATTGCAATTCAATTCTTTTATAGAATTTTATTTTTTAAAATAATTGAATTCCCGTAAAGAATTTTATAAAAATTTGTTTAAATAATTGATTTTAAATTTTTTATTGTTTATGGAAATAATTGAATGTCTTCGTAGAATTTTATCTTAAAAATTCAATCATTTTTTTAGAGTTTTTACCTTAAATTCTTCTTTGAATAAATTATTGTTAATAATTAATTAAACTAATTTCAGAAGAATTTGAATTATTAACATTTTTGAAAAATCTAAGTTCGTTAAAAATTATAATTCAATTAATTCAAAATTGAAATTTTATAAAATTTTAAATTAAAACCTTTTGAAGCTTATCTATTTATGAAGATTGTAAACGCAACTCTTTTGAAATTCAAATAATTTTGAGATATTTAAGTAAAATTATTCATTAATTAATTTAATAATTTTATGATCTTGAAGAATTAAGTTATTTAAAAAGAAATTATTATCAAAAATAGAAAAAATAGAAGGTTTTCTTTTAAAATTCGTTGTAATTTCATTTTTTATGAGACAAACAAAAAGGACACAAAAATTCAGAATTTTCTTATGAATTCTAAAAATTTAATTTTTTTCCAATACTTTTAATAAAATGGTCTGACTTTTTGTTCTTTTTCCTGACCAATTTTACTTTCCCTGACTTTTCTCTGAATTCCCTAATTTCCCTAACCTGTGGCAATCCTGTCAAAGTTCCGTCTGGAAATCAGGGAAAAGTCAGGAAAAAATAAAATCAAATTTTTTTATCAATCCTGTTGTTCAACTATTTCAAGTAAATTTGAATACATTCTTCTAGAAAAAAAAGGCTGTAATGAGATAATGGTTCCCTGTATGGAGAATACAAAAAAGATTGCAAAGTGCTATCAAGATCATCCTCATCAAGCTTTGGAGTGTGCACCTTTCGTCAAGGAATTCGCCAGTTGTGTGGATGAATGTCGAACGAAAATTATTGCCTCTCGTTGCTAGCAATTTTCAATTAAATTTAGTTTCCTCTTAGACTGTTTATTTCAATGAATTCACTATAAACAACTTGTGAGAAGAAAATTAAATTAAAATCTAAGGTGGAATTGTCAAATTCTCGTTACAATAGAAAACTTGTTAAAGAAAAATCTCTGCTTTCATGTAAACAAGAAATAATTCTGTGAAACTGACCTTTTTTTTTAAAAAAAGAAGCTTTTAAATAATCTAAGGCTTTCTTTTACAGAGATTTTTAATTTTATTTATAAGCACTGTAAATTATAGAAATAAAATATAAAAATATCGTTTTAAAACATATTTTTAATTCAAAATGATTACATTATATACTATATTATGTTACAGGAATCACAGGCACGTGTTAATTCAATTGAAGAACGTTTAATTTAACCGGAGAGTTTAATTGTTTTATGAATTGAGAGATTCATAATTTCCAATTAAGACAATTTTATAAAAATAGAATTACATTTCTAAAAGTTGAAAAAAAATATTCGAATTTTTGATTCGTGGCATAATAATTACACTCAAGTTTTTGATACACGCTTTTTTGCGAAATTGAAACATTTCGACTCAAATGTATCTCTTAGAGGAAGAATTTCTTTTTAATTATTATCTTTTAATTTCTGTTAAACTACTATTTATTTTTATAATTTTCTTTTATATAAAAAAAATTGCTTTTCATGAAACAACAATATAATGCCCAATATTTTATAATAAATTTATAATATAACGAATGGAAATTTCCAGTGTCTATATTAAGTCTTATTGTTGATATTAAATGGATATATTTTGTTTTTATCAAACCCCACGCAAGTTTATAAGTAACGCTAAGTTCTTTAGGCTCAACTATATTTAAATGTGTGTATATAAAATTCGAAGAAAAAAATCTGTTTCAAATCAATGTCCATTTAAAGAATTGACACAGTTTTAAGCAAATCAACTGATAATAAATACTTTTATGCGAATGTTAAAAATTGTGATATACTAACATGATACCAACACAAGTATGAATGAAGGAAAATTAAATTAAATAACAAAAAGTAAGAATGTGATAAAAATTGTACAAACCGTGTAAAGAAAAAACAAAATTAACATAATGGAAGGAATAAATGTGAATTAATCGCTCTTTTTGTCGCTACCAGTTTGAAGTAACTTTGAATGTTCTTCATTTAGACGATCGTATTCTTTAGCGAGGGAATCGGCCTGCGATTTAACTGCAGACTTGTCCTTCTTCTCCTTGGTTAATTCACTTTCAAGTTCAGTGTTTTTTATCTCAAGTTCCTTGATTTGAGTCTTCAATTCTGACACTGCTTTGTCATAGGCTTCATTTGATTCATTTTGGGCACTTTCTCCAGTTGTTTTCTGTGACAAAAGAGTTCTTGCCGTTGTCGTTGCTGATTCTGCTTGCCTCATTGCTGCTTCACTTTGTGCCAATAACGATGCTTGCGTTGAAATCAATAACACCAGACGTCGAATCACTAAACTTAAGAATAGTGCAAATCCAGATATATAGAAATTCCTTTGAGCTCGAAATAATCTCATGTTGCCTGAAAAAAAATTGGTTCATTCAAATTAGAAATTTAATCATATATTGTGACGCTCTTTAATAGGGTTGCCACATAGGTCTGGGAAATCAGGGAATTTTATTTGAATACAAAACCTTCAATTTTTTCCATTTCTGACAATAATTTCTTTTTAAATTACTTAATTCTTCAAGAACTATCATAAAATTATTAAATTAATTAATGAATAATTTTACTTAAATATCTCAAAATTATTTGAATTTCAAAAGAGTTACGCTTAGAATTTTCATAAATAGATTAACTTCAGGTTTTAATTTGAAATATTATAAAATTTCATTTTTGAATTAATTGAATTTTTAATGATCTTAGATTTTTCAAAAATTTTAATAATTTAAATTCTACAAAAATTAGTTAAATTAATTAATTAATTATTAACAATAATTTAATTTATTATATAGGTAGAAGAATTTAAGATAAAAACTCTAAAAAAAATAATTGGATTTTGGAGGAGTTACAAGTTATTGCAATTTTTAAAATACTTAACTGAATTTTAAAAAGGTTTCAAATTAAAATCTTTGGACAATATGAATTTTTCATACTTTCAATTAATAATTCTGTTGAACTAATTGCATTAGAAATTTTTTAAAATTTTTCTAAAGAATTCTAATTTTAAATTATGTAAAATTTCAATTTTTAATGAATTTGTTTAGACATTTTAAAGAATTTATTTTTTTGTAAAATTTGCATAATTAAAATTCTTTTCAAATTTACTTGAATTTTTAAATATTTATTTACTTATAATTATAAAAAATAATTTGAAAAATTTTAATTTTAATTCTGTTGAAATTGGTTGAATTTTTTAATATATTTAATATTATTTCAAAAATTTTAAAGCATTTTTTCGAAAGAATTCAATTATCTTGATAAATATCAAAAATCGTCACAGAAATTAAATTATTTTCAGGAATTTTAAGTAAAATTATTTGCAAAATTCAATTAGAAATTTTAAAGAACTTTAATTTTTGACAAATTTTAGTAATTCAAATTCTTCTGAAATTAGTTCAATTTTTTAATATATATATATATATTTAATTAATTATTAAAAATAATGGATTTATAGAAGAATTTTAATTAAAACCACTAAAAAAATTGAATTTTGGAGAAGATACAAATGATTGCAGAAATTCAATTATTGTCAAGAATAATAAAATTCTTCGCAAAAGAAATTCTCGTCAAAATTTCAATTTTATCTTTATAAATAGTAAAATTCTTCTCCGAAATTAAAATTTTTTCAAAAATTTTAATAAAATTGTTGGCAAAATTTCAATTATTTTAAAAAATTTCCCTCAACTCAATTATTTTTCAATATTTGCTATTTTCATAAAATTGCCTAAAAGAATTCAATTAGGGTAAGTGTGCCAATTATGGCGCGGTTCTGGTTTAGCCGTCTTTGAAATAGAAAATTCAAAAATTATAATGAAAGAAGTAAATTTATGGCTTATTAAACTAAAAGCTCGTGTCATATAGATACTCCCGTGGGGGACCCGGGCGCAGAATAGGCCCCCTGTGATCCGATGCATGTCGTATGAGGCGACTAAAACGGGCTCGGAGGGTTGTCAACACTTGCAGTTAGTCCTCGGTTCGCCCTGGCTATCTTGCAGAGTGTTGGCCTGCCGATGATGATGGACAGCGCTGTGTCGGCCCGGCAAGTCTAATATAGACCGACGTACCTCAAGGAAGGGAAAAGAAGGTGTCATGCCTTCTTTCCCTTTCGGGACGTGGCGTACCCGAGGTTCCTGAGCCGATCAGGGATAGGCTAACGACAGTTAGCCTAGCGGGAGTGACGAACCCGGTGAATCCCAAGTTACTCGAGGAAGGGTGGATTTCGGTCCGCTCTACGGGTGTTGGTGGCCCCGAGTTACCTAACCGGTAACTCCGGTAACTTAGGCAGTAAGACCTAATTTTATTGTCGCACCAGGGGGGCAAGGTCCCACGGGAATTGACGATCCCGGTGCAACCCTTAAGTTACTCAAAGGGAGAGTGGATAATTGAAGCTCTTACGGGCCCTGGTACCCCCGAGTTACCTTAACCTGTCCAGGCAATGGGGCATTACGTCATTGTCGCATCGGGGCGTGACGAACCTTGGTGCGATCTGTAGTCAAACTCGAAGGGAGAGTGGATAACTGAAGCTCTTACGGGCCCTGGTACCCCCGAGTTGCCTCAACCGGCCTAGGCAATGGGGCTTTGTGTCATTGTCGCATCAGGGGAGGTGGAGGTTAATGCTGAAGCCTTACGAGTCTGGTGGATTGACGAACTCGGTGCAACCTCAGTCCTTCAGGGGAGAAGTAATTTATTACTCACGGGGGTTGGCAAGTCCCGGAGCCCCAGCTGGCAGTGCCGTCAGGCCTGCGGCAAGTCGAATATTATGGCCATCCGAGAGGGGGACTTCGGTCCTGCGGGTGTGACAAACCCGGGATACCTCAGTTGCTTGCCGAGGCAAGGGTGGTAAGAGTCCTTATCGGTACTCTTACCAGAGTACTAAACGGTACCATGGGGACCGGATGCCCGGGGAGACTTAGTGTCTTCCACCGGTCATTGGGTTGGACTCGTGGTGGCAGTGGTTAAAAGCCTACATCGCTTAAGGCGAGGACGTGAATGGGACAGGACAAGTCTGTTTGGGTGCTTGCGCCATCGCGACTGTTCTAGTACCTCCGTCCGACATGTGAGTTGTGGTGCCAACTCGGGAAGCGGCCTGCAGAGCCGTTAGGGATTGGAAAGGTCCCGGCACCGACCGAGGGTCCGCATGGTTCTTACCGACCTTGCGGAAATCGGCAGATGACCAGAACATCTTGGTCATCGACGTTGGGCGAGCGTATCTCGTCCCCGATATGACCGTAGGCGTGTCCGTGTGGGTATACCGGTATCGGGAGGTCTTACACGTAAAACAACCTAGGCGGTGTCATATAGATAATAAAACTTTTATAAAAACTTTATAAAAATTAATTATTTAAACAAAATTAAAGCAATAAGAATTAGGATTAAAAACGTCAATTATGGCGCGGTTGAGTCAATTTCGGCGCGCCAATTACGGCAGGGAAAATAACGTGTATTTAGAGGTTGTGTTGCGCGCCATAACTGGAGCACGCACATTCAATGAAAATGTGCCAATTATGGCGGGGCACAATTTTTGTACTTAAATAATTAAACCAATAATAGTTCAAATGTGTTTTTTTTCGTACAATTATATCGAGTAAGGTCGAAAATAACTTCTTCTATCATTTTCAAATAACTATATTATTCTAAAATAGTAAATAATTCTATTTTTTACAAAGTCGCCATAATTGGAGCACCCGCCACAATTGACACACTTACCCTATTTAAAAAAAATTTTGATAAAATCTACGCAAACATTCAATTGTTTTTATAAACAATAAAAACTTCAAAGAAATTCAATTATTTAAAATCTTTACTGCAAAGAATTTTATAAAAAATTGTTTTTTTAAAGATTTTAAATAATTGAATTTTATAAAAAATTGTTTTTGTAAAGATTTTAAACAATTGAATTTAATAAAAAATTGTTTTTGTAATTTATTTATTTTTATAAATATTAAAATTTTTACAGGGATTCAATTATTTTCATAAATAATAAAATTATTTTAGGAATTCAATTATTTTTATTTAATACAATTTTAATTGAATTCCTCGAAAAATGAAATTCTTTAAAATAGAATTTGTATAAATTTATTCGAAAAAAATAAATTCAGGGTGTCTAGCGAATCGTCAATTTAAAATTCCCGGGTTTTTCCCGGTTTTTTCCCGGGTTCTTGAATAATTTTCCCGGATATTCACAAAGGATTTAAAAACATATTTAAATGTTTATCAATAACATTATTTACGTAATTAAATATTGTTTTTATTAAATTACAATGATTAAAGTTATACAATAATTTCTAAAAACTTGACATAGAATATCAAAATTTCACTTATAAAAATTTCTCAACTTTATAATATAATTGTCAATTCAGGGGAATTTAAGAAAAACTTTTTTTGAAAAAAAAATTCCGCTCGGTACATACATTATACCCTTTGAAATACTTGTAAAATTTAATTAATTTCTCAAACCATGAATTGCACATTATAATGTTTACATAGAATTAAACTAGAATATTTAAGCTTTATTTGTACATAAGTTTCAAGAAAATCGGATGCGACGTGTTTTGAGATATTCAAAAAGGTTATCTTTCAAACTTAATTTTTTTCATAAATTCTATTATTTAAAAAAAAAAATTTCTACCATTATAAAGTTGAGAAATTTTTGTTTTAAAACCACTAATAGTAAATAAAGTTTGGCTTCAATAAATATGAGAAATAATGATTTAAAAATTGCCTTACAATGTCAATTGTTTATAAAGAGGATCATTTTGAAATGGAATGCCCCATATTTAGTTTTAAAAAGTAAAATCTTTGCCTTTCCTATATCACAGAAGATTCTTAATTTCTTCTTATAAAATTTGTTACGTATTGTATACCTATAAATTGTTATATAAAAATAATAATAGTACAAATCCTTTAACTTTTATAATATAACGTATACTAAAGTTAGTTTTAAATAAAATTTAAGTTATTATTTTTACTACTGCTTCATACTATCAATTTACCCTTGACGATTTTGAAAAAAATTATAATTTTTTATATACATAATTCAAAAAATACCCTAGAAATAGAAAATTCCCGGGTTTTTCCCGGTTTTTTGAGGTCGAACCAAATTCCCGGGTTTTTCCCGGTTTTTCCCGATTTCCCGGTTCGCTAGACACCCTGAAATTATTTACAATTTTTTTTATAAAATTTGTGAAAAGAATTAATTAGTTCAAAAATTTATTGATAAAATTCATTATAAGAATTCAATTTTAAAAATAATTCAATTATTCTGTAGGTATATTATTTATTTTTCTATTTGAATATTTGAATTTCCGTACAATTTTGTAATAAAAATTGATTTCTCCAACACTTGCTCTGAAAGGAGTACTTTTCTTGGTAGAAAAGTGTGGCGAAAGTAGAACTTTTCTCAACTGCTCTGAAGAGCGTGGCGAAAGTAAAATTTGGCGTGGCGAAAGTAAATTCAGCGTGGCGAAAGTAATTTTTAGCGTGGCGAAAGTAAATTTGGCGTGGCGAAAGTAAATCATGAATTTATTCTTTTTTCTTGTTCTTTGACCGAGATTTATTTTGTATCTAACTTCTTCCCCACTCAAAACATTCGTCTTTTATTATATTAAACATAAGAACATTTTTAATTAAAATTATACGAAACTCACGAAGAAACCTTTCCTCGCAAGGCGTTGGAGAAAACGTAGTGCACAACTCGTGGTGAAAGAATGATTTTTCGAGAGTGATTGCTGCTCTCGCTACGCTCGAGCCGCAAACTTCACTCTCGAAAAATCACACTTTCGCCACTAGTTGTACAATGTACTATTAAACATCAATTTCAGGTAAAAACTCGAGAAAAATTAATTGAATGTTTGAAGTATTATAGAGTAAATTTTTAAATTAATTGCATTTCAAAAGATTTTTAAATTTTATTCTTTGAAAATCTGAATTTTTCAAACTTTAAATTAACAATTTTGTAAAACAAATTTTTTTTTTAATTTTTAATTCCAATGTTTTTGAAATTATTTAAAGGTTTTATTTTCTAAAATAATTATATTTAATTGAAGAATTTCCGAATAATCGAAATTTCGTAAAATAATTGTATTATAAAGAAATGGATTTGAAAATTCTCAAAGAACTGTGTCAAAAATTATTAAAAATAATTGATTTAAAGAAAAATTTGCTACTGTAACTTATCCAAAATTATTCATTTTTGTATTTAAATAATTGAATTTTCGTAGGATTTTCTAATGCAAATTTTTTAAATATGAATTTCAATTAAAATTTTAGATAACAATTGAATATTGGAAGCATTGTAATATGAATTTAAGAAATATTCAAGTCATCAATAAATTATTATTTATTTTTGTATTTAAATACTTGAATTCTGATTGGATTATCTAATAAAAATTGATTTAATAATTAATTTCAGTTAAATCTAAATTTTCCATACTTTTAATTAACTATTTTTTGTAAAATTAATTGTTTTGAAAAATTTTAATTCCAATTTTTTCAAATTTTTATTTTTAATTGAAGAATTTCCGAACAATCGATAGTTTGTTAAATTGAAATGTAAACAAATGGATTTGAAAATTCTCAAACAACTTTGTCAAAAATTATTAAAAATAAGAGATTTAAATAAGAATTTAAGTTGAAAATTCTGGAAAATAATAATTGTATTGAAATGATGAAAATAATTTTGAACTAGTTACAGTAACTTATAAATTACTGAATTTCAAATTTTTGAAAATGTTAGTTCCCATGGAAAAATAATAATGATTGAATATTTATTTTAAAAAAAAGTTACAGTAGAACCTCGGTTATCCGAGGCACTAAACATGCTCGGATAATGCGGAATAACTCGGATAAAACGGATCGAGCGACTAAATTTGGAAAAAAAATTTTACAAAACCACTATTTGTGATCATTGCATTTAAAATTTCGTCCATTTTTGTCGTTTAATATTATTCTAACACTTTAAACACATGAAAAATAATTTAAGATTTTGAAATTTTCATTTGTTCCGTGTTATCCGAGTTTTCGATTATCCGAGGCACCTCTTCCCCACATTACCTCGGATAATCGAGGTTCTACTGTATTGATATTGTTGAATAATTTTACAATTACAAAAATTCGTAAATAAATGTAATAGAACATTTTTTTTTTATTAATAATTTTGAGAGTGAATCAGAATATTCTTTAGGGTAAAGAAAAAAGTCAAAATTTTGTCTGGAAATCAGGGAAAAGTCGGGGAGAATCAAAATTAAATTTTTGTGGCAACGCTGAATTTAATTATACATTGGACGCTCTCCAAAGAACGGTACCTAAGAAGTAAATCATTATAAGGTTATATTTGTGTTTTTTTTCCATTAATTGAGTTTCTCTTCAATTATTTAAATCTAAAAACAGTTTACTTATGAAATATTCAATATTCTTTACAACTTAATGAGATGTAGACTCATTGGTTTATTTTAAGAAATTGATCTCCTTTGAGTATATTCTACTTGCTATTTTTTGCTTCTTAAGTACCTTTCTTTAGAACACGTCAGAATTAAATTTTTAAGATAAATTAGACATATTATTTTAATTAAAAAATGTACCTTGCATTTCTGCATCCAAATGAGCGTGGGCATGTTCTCCGCCCTCCATATTCGAGTACTTTCGCATTTCTCTAATAGCATCTAGTAGAAAGAGTACTAAAATTGCGAGCAATACGAGAAAATACATTGACGCTTGATTGCTCAGGCTTTGAAGAAATCGTGATCTGAAAAGTTTCTGCCATCTTCTGGGAGAAGCGACTGGCAGAACCAGCAATAAAACAATGAATATTTCTATGTAAAGAAAAGATGCAATTAACGTCCACTGTAAACTCATTTTTGATTATCTGCAACAGAAATAATTTTATTAATCAAAAAGGGTTTATTAATTACAACTAATAAAGTTCAAATTCATTTAATTCTTTTTATATATTATCAAATATTATTACCAAAACACTACACTTATTTGAAAAACAATTGAGTAAAATTAATCAGTTATTAGCAATGACAACGCAATTTCATTCGTTTATTGTTTTACATGAGAAAAAAATATAACAAAATTGACTGTGTCACGAATAGATTTGTAATATTAGATAATTGTTATTTAAAAAATTGTTTATCAATTTTGCAAAAAAAAAAAAACGAACACGACACTTTTGTTCAATTTATTTTTATGCCTTATTATCACTATTTTAACTTATTAATATTTAAACTTCCTATGAATGAAAAATCGGATTTTATACTATTTTGCACATTGGAAAATTAACAAATGCACACTTTCCACGTATGTGTATACAACGAATGACTCATAATATTGTACTCAATCTTTTTTTAAATGAAAATGAATATTATAGGTTTAAGATGCATCATTAGTGACGTGTATTAATAATATTCCTTCTCTTATCAACTTTTCAATGAATAAAAATACAAAAATTCTTACATTTATAACAAAACGTTATTTTTTGTAAAAAAAAAAAAAATATCGCAAATATTCTTTTTGCAAATACTACGAAATATATTATTATTAAATGTGATAAATATAGTAAAAAACCATACCGTTAGTTGCCTTCTAGAAAATTAAAATTTTATGACAAGTTCAAAGATCAGAAAACTGGGTAAATTTTTATAAATAAAAAGTCTCATCCAATGACGTCACATACTTAAAAATTTCCTTGCAAGACACCGACAGCGACAGAACGCCAGGCAGCGACAGGGCTGGGTAGGGGGGATTTTTTTTTATTGCGAACGACTCGAAAGGCTGACTTTCAAATGACGACACAACGTCGACTCAAACGTTAATTGGTGGAAACTTTCTGATATGACACTGCAATGGCGGGACTCTCAACAGCCTTGAATTTAATTTCAAAATTGATAAGAGGAATTCTCCTTCGATAAAAACATAAGTTATTTAATTATTATTAAATAAATATAACAAATACAAGAAATATTATTATTCGAAATAAATAAATATGGAGATGTCATAAAAATTTAATTTTCATTTTCCTTCACTTTTCCCTGATTTTCAGACAAAATTTTGGCTTTTTCCTGACCCTAAAAGAATATTCTGATTCACTCTAAAAATTATTAGATACTTAAAAATTCTATGTTATCTTACATTTCTTTACGAATTTCTAAAAATTATTCGAAAACATCAATAACTTCATTTTTAAATAAATATTTTATTATTATTATTTTTCCGTAGGAATTAAAATTCTTCAAAACATTAAAATTCAAACCTTCTTGAAATTCAACAAATTATAATAATTAAATAAAGATGACCATGTGATGAAATCATATATTTCATATTATAAGAATATTGTTACTGTAACTTTTTCAAAATCATTTTCGTCATTTCAATTTTCAATTATTATTTTCGAAAAATTTTAACAAAAATTCTTCTTTAAATCAATTATTTTTAAAATTACTCAATTATTTATTTTATTATCTACTATTCAATTGTTTATCAATTATATTCAAAAAAGTTCTTTGAGAATTTTTATATACATATTTATTTAGGTGCAATTCAACTTTACGAAAATTCGATTATTCGGAAATTCTTCAATTAAATATAATTATAAAAAAAAAAAAAAAAAAAAAAAATATAATAATATAATATATATATATATATATATATATATATATATATATATATATATTATATATATAATATAATTTTTTTTTTTTTTTTTTTTTTTTTTTTATTTTAGAAAATAAAATCTTCAAATAATTTCAAAAAGATTTCAATTAAACTTTTTCAAAAAAATTAATTCTATACAGAATTGTTATAGTTAAAAGTACGAAAATTCAAATTTTGAAAGATTTTAATTTGAAACCTTTTCAAAATTCAATTATTTCTAAAAAAAATTCATGCTATAATGCTTTCAATATTCAATTATTACTTAAAATCTTACATGAAATTTATTTTTAAATAAATTTTTATTACAAAATTCTAAGAGAATTCAATTATTTAAATACAAAAATAAATAATTTATTGATTAATTTAATTTTTTCTGAAAATTAAATTTTCATAAAGATTTTTAGTAACAAATTTTTAAATAAATAAATTTTTTTTTACGAATTTTAATAAAATTTTTAAAAATTTTGCCAAGAATTTTATTAAAATCTTTGAAAATAATTAAAGTTTTGTTAAAAAAATAATTTTGCTATTTATAAAGATAATTGAAATCCTGAGGAGAATTTAAAATAAATTTTTTGAAGATAATTAAATTTAATTAATTTCAGCGGAATTGAAATTAAATTTGTATTAAAAATAATTGAAATTCTGCGATGAGTTTTATTATTTATGAAAATAATTATTGAATTCCTAAGAACAAAGTTAAGAATTTTAAAAATACCTATTGAATTCTTGCAAAGAATTTTGTAAAATTTAAAAAAAAAATTGAATTCTACTGAAAAATTTGATTATTTGTGAAAATAATTGAATTATTTATTGAAACTTTTCAAAAAATTGAATTTTTCCGAAAAAATGTATGCACGGAGAGAGAATATATATTAAATTTTGTAAAAATATTTTCAAATTGGGGAAAAAGTGCGACAAAGCGAAATTTTGATATCAAAAAATACTAAATTTTAAAAAAACTTATATGAAATTTAGTAAAGTTATATTAGAATTTAATTAATATTCTTGATATTTGATATAATTATACTAAATTTCACATAAGTTTTTTTAAAGTTTAGTATTTTTTGATATCAAAATTTCGCTTTGTCGCACTTTTTCCCCAATTTGAAAATATTTTTACAAAATTTAATATATATTCTCTCTCCGTGTGCAAATTCTTTTTTAAATAATTAAATTCCTGTGGACTTTTTATTATTTATGAAAATAATTGAATATTTCCTAAATATTTTTGGTAAATTTTTTGAAAATAGTAAATATTGAAAATTATTGAATTGTGGAACATTTTTGGAAATAGTTTAAATTTTGACAAAAATTTTATTAAAATTTTTGAAAATAATTGAATTTTGGCGAAGAATTTTGCTGTTTATGACGATAATTGAATTCTTGACAAGAACTTTTTAAATAATTGAATTTCTGTTAAGAATTTTATTACATTTGAAAACAATTAAATTCTTGTGATGATGATTATTTGTGAAAATAATTGAATTTTGTAGAAAAATTACTAAAAATTGAAAAATTTAGTTATATATAGAATTGTTGATTTAAAGTATAAAAAAGTCAGGTTTTCAAATATTTTAATTTGAAACCTTTTCAGAATTCAATTATTTCTATTTTCTATAAATTCATGCTAGAATGCTCTTAATATTCAATTTGTATTATCTAAAATTTTAACTAAAATTCATTTTCAAATTAATTTTTATTAGAAAATTACATTTTTCAAGAAATTTTATTAAAATTGTTTTAAAAATAATTGAAATTTTATGATGAGTTTTATTATTTATGAAAATAATTGAATTACTATGTAAAAAAAAATTATATTATTTATGTAAATAATGGAATTGTTGGGAAGAAATTTATGAAAAATTTGTAGATAAATAATTGAATTCCTGTGAAATTGTTATTATTTATGAAAATAATTAAATGTTTGCGAAGAATTTAACATCAAATTTTTTTTTAAATAATTGAATTCTTTTGGAAAATTTTATTTAAATAGTAGATATTGAAAATCATTGAATTGAGAAAAATTTTTGAAAATAATTGAAATTTTGTCAAGAATTTTATTAAAATTTTTGAAAATAATTGAATTTATTTAGAGAAGAATTTTACTATTTATAAAGATATAATAATAATTGAAATTAAAACCTTTTTAGGTTCACCTATTTATGAAAATTGTAATCGTAACTCTTTTAAATTTCAATTCCTTTTGAAATAGGTTCAAGTAAAATTATTCAGCAATAATTTTATGATTTTTTTTCAAGAATTAAGTTATTCAGAAAGAAATTATTGTCAGAAAAAGAAACAATTGAAGGTTCTGTATTAGAATTCATGGTAATTTCATAGTTTATATATGAGGCAAACAAAAAAGACCTGTAGCAACCCTGAAACAACTTCAAAAAATTATTAAAAATTATGAAAAAATAAATAGCGATTATTTAATTAACTGTTAATTATAGCATAAAATAAATTTATTAATTGCAATAATCTATGTTAGTAAATAATAATATAAAAATAATTTCGAATTTAAATAAATGAAAACAGACTATCCATTATAGAAACCAAAGTTTCTGAGAGTGAAACAGAAAATGAATATGTAGTGTCTAAATGACTATAACTATTATAAAGACAAAAAAGGCAATAAAACCGAAAGTCAATATAATCATTGACTAGTTTCTGTTGAAATATATAATGTCACGGTACTTCTGGGTTTTGATAAATAGCATTGAATTGAAGCAATCGTTTCTCTGGCGGTAATCGGTATAATGCGAACTCAGCAACTGATAAGCTCTCCATTCATTAATGGCTCGCACTTGCGGTTTGGCAAAAAGCCAATGTGTATTGAGTAAAATGAATTTCTTCTATATCTTTTAATGTTTCCTCATTTTTTTCGTTTTAATCCATTTGAGTTAAAAAAATAAAACAATATTTTACGAAATAAAAATAATAATAGAATCATCAAATTATTTCAAATTTTTTTTGAATTTTCTAATTTATCCTCATTGTAAAATATTGTAAAATATTTTTAGCTAGCAAATGATATGCACGCGGAACGCGTTATTTTATTGATTAGGTATTATTTTGTAAATTAAAAAACTATGTTTTCAAGAATAAGCATCAATTTGAAATTACAGATTCCAAATTTAAAGAATTCACTTATTAAGTATATAATATTAAATATTCTTGTTTATTATTATGTACTTAATAAGTATT